AATCTAATCCAATCGAATGAGATTTGGTTATCAAACTCGTGGGATCGGATTGGATTAAAACGATGAAGAAAAAAAAAAAAAAAAAAAAAAAAAAAACCAAACGCCTTCCAGACGCGTTCATAGCGTTAGATTTTCAAAAAGAGACTCCAAGAGCTGAGCAAAGATTCAAAGTTTTGAATTCATAACAAACGGTTCCATTTCGACGAACCAAAGGTGAAAATAATTCAATTCTGATAATTTATCGAATTTGACTATAATTATGCTTTCAATTCTATGCATTATGATTAGGTAAGCAATTGTGTTGGTGATTTCAGATTTGAGAATATGTTAATTTCATATTGTTATGTTTCAAAAATTAGTTAGAAAATTTCAGAAAACTAATTCCTCGTAAGATAATTTTAGTACGAGATTATTTTATGACATTGGCTCAAAAAGTGGGCGTCATTGCGTTTCAGTTTTGTAGTTCATGCAAATATTTTCTTAGTAAACCATTATATGTAAATTACATCATAAACTTAAGAGGTATTTAAAGCTGAAATGAATCTTTTTTTTTTTTTTTTTTGTCTTCATTTTTGCAAGATTGTGATAGCACGTTTTTTTTTTTCTTTCTGGAGTTTTTTTATGTAGGCAATGAAGACTCATCCCTTTCTGAAGGAACTTGGCCAACAGAGTTTGTTTAAGTCATATTCTTATCTTGGTTATCTCTTTTGCTTCAAATTCATGCCGTCGCGTGCAATACTCTTTGGAGACTTGGAGTGTGTCAGACTCCATGTTGTTGTGGCAATGGTTTTCATAGTTTATTATATAAATTATCTGATGTTACTCAACACTACCTTTGAAGATTGTTTTTAAATATGATTTACAATGGTATTGTCCCTTGCAAAGCTTCAAATAATATCCACACTTTCTCATTCCTTTTACTTATACAAAGTATTCTTCATATAAATAGGTATAGCTTTCTACACAAGTCAGTCGGCATTTCAACCTTGTTTGAGATTACTAATGATTCCTTGGTGGATCCCACGTCCCAAATTGTTCAAACGCGCATCCCACTTAGTATTCTTGGTTTTGAAGGTTTGATGATTCCCATTAACAGTTGTGGACTTATTTTGAAATTAGTTGGGGAAAAAACTGCTCTTGTACGATGGGAGGTAAATATGCAACCGCATTACCCTTTATTTTTTATTTCTCTTTCTTATATTCGCTTTTATTTTGAATGACAGGACAGGTTCTCTTGCATCATCAAGGGAATGCATCTTAAATTTGACATGATGAGTGTTTCTTTTTCCCATATATATTTGTGTTCTTTATACATTGGTTATTCGATAGATTTATCAAGTTTGTAGGGTGGGTGTGGTTAAGTTTCTTTCTCTTTCTTTTCTATCCATGAACAGAGAAATTTTTATTAGGTCCCTTGCTAAATCCTTTGTTGTGATAATGAATTTCTTACTTAATGAAATTCTTTGTAGTTTTAACTTGTGAATAGTTTATTAAGTGACAAGTGCTAACATTTGCTTATTTTGCCACACATGTTTAAATTGGTGTCGCGGTGCCTTGTCTTATTTGTTGTTTTAGATGTAGCCGTGAAGCATCTATAATCTTTAGTATGATTTCACTTTCATCTTACTCTTACTTTCATTCATGACTTTTTTCATGCTAGTATACTGTATATTTCTTTGCTAAAATTGTAACATTATTGTCAAGATAACTAATACTTCATGAAACACTTTCAGGCAGAGATTGGTTCTATAAGTTCATATATAAAAATTCTGCAGGAGAAATCAATGGATATGGGTTTGAAGCTAAAGAATCCTAAGGTACCACAGCTTGAATTGGTAAAGCTATGTTGCATTCATTTGTAGGGCTTAAAAATAAGGACTTTTGGCATACGATTTTCATGTTGTTATATCTCATGTTGTTGGTTGGTCTCCTGTGCTTGTTCTTTTGACGTAATTTCTCAAAGATTTTAATGTAGTTTCTCAAAGGTTAGTATTTCTTTATCTCTGACTCTCATGATTGTATGTCTGTTACTAAAAAAGTGACCAAATTTGGACATTAGAATTTTAATTATGTTGTTACTTGGCAATCAAGATGAAATATGAGTTAGCTCATAGGCACTTATTGTTAGTGTCCTGGGAAACTCAAGTGCTCTTGCTCACAAGTTTCTGCCTTTATAGTAAAATTTGTTATGTTGTTCAGTTGTATGGTTTATCTGGTTTTTTCTTTATATGCTTCATTAGTTAATCAATTTATATGTTTTAATTAATTAATTAGACTAATTTTGTGACAGATCAATAGTTGCTTTGCTGGAGGAGATGACCTTTTTGTTGGAGCATTTTGTCAAGATAGATTATTTACTTAACCATTTCATTTGACTAGACATTTTGGATACTTTGATATCTCTACCTATTTCTCTGTATTCTTTACTTGTTTTTAATGTTAAAGTTGTGGACAAATGGTGTGACTTGTGTTGTAAACATCATATTGCCAACTTTGTAGATACTGATAACAATTACTACATTGAATGTTTTTATGTTTTAATTTGAATGTTCCTATTTGGATGTAAGATGTTGCTCAGAATCACCATCTATTTGAATGAATTCAAAAGGATATTAACATAATAAAAGTAGATATGACGCTAGTATGTATTACTTTTACTATTGGTAAAATATTCAATAATAATTTTAAAAAGCTATAGGAGTATGAACATAACAAGAGAGAAAAGCTATTAATCTGTACCGTAACAATGTCAAATAGCTGTAAGAGACTGAAAATAACATGTCTAAAACGTTATAAGACCTCAATTCTATAGCGTTTCTCATATCATTCTCAGAACGTTATGTTTTCGTAGGACTTTTAATAGCGTCTGATGTCTTAGTGCTCCACAAAACGCTATTGGTAGTGCTTAATAACGTTTTTAATTAGTTATTGATAATGATATTTGTTGTAGTGATGGGATTGGATCATATTTAGTTTTTGAGTGTCAAATCTAATAAATCAATCTAATTTAATCCAATGTATATATATTGCTATTATTTTATTTCATTAATTCATAAAAGTTTATTAATTTTTATTACCTTTAGAAATAGATATTGTACACCGACCCACACTTGATTAGTTGATCATTTTGAAGTTGGAAAATCTAGGTATTCATTCACTATATCATTTTTAATATATATCATTCTAAATAATTGAGTATTATCACAGCTTTTTATTTTCTCCTTATAATTGAATGACGTCAATCGTTTATTTTAAACGAGTGGAATAAATAATATATTTTACTCCCTTGAGTTTCTGATATTTTTCCTTTGCTTATATGTGTGTTGGCCTTATACTCTATTTCAATTTGTAGTTGATGACTTGATGATTATAGTTTGTTGAAATACTTTTGAAGACGTATTTACAGAAATTTGGTTTCGGATTCATTAAATTTTGAATTTTCTATAATAAGGTTTTATGACAAATTGTTTGGATTGAAGCATATCCTTAATTGTAAACTAGAATAAGATAAAATCGACCTCAATCCAATCCATAAATTAGATTTTGTAAATAAATCGTATTGTTTTGGATGTAATTAACATCAAAAAAATCACCGTATTATAATGGATTAGACATGGTGAAAATTACCATAATATTACATTGGGTGTAGAGGTGTCAATTGGGCCGGGCCAGGCCGGCCCGCTACAGTGGTCAATTCGACACGGCCCGACCTTGTACTATTATGAGCCGGGCCGGACCAGCACGCTAGAAGGGCCTGGGCTGGGCCTCATGTTTGAGGCCCGCAGCCCAGGCACGGTCTAAGCCTACCGAAGCCCAAGCACGGTCTAGGCCCACCAAGGCCCAGGCACGCAAAGGGGAAGGCAAGGCCCAGGCCCGCGAAGGCTCAGGCCTGGGACATGAAATTTTAATAAGGTTTGAGACATTTTAGTGTCAACTAGTCGACCTATGTCGTCCAGTCAACCAGTCATTTTCTTATAATTATTCATATTATTTCAATAAAATCACATTTTTTTGGTGCATATGATATCTTACTTTTTTTTTTGTCATCAAATATGAAATTATAAAAAATCCTAAAAAATTGTTAATCATAAGTGAAACTCAAGTGCATTAAGAAAATTATGTTAAAATTGAGTTTTGAGGGGAATCCAGTGTAATCCGGTCGTCTGGTAGCAGAGAAGTTGTAAGCCATCGGTCAACCGGTGCCTGCTCAACGACCATAAATTGGACCGTTGAACAGGGCCTTTAGTAGGACCGGCCCAATAAAGTCTTAAAGGGACGGCTGTATGAAGGTCTTACAGGACTATTAATAGGCCTTTAGTAGGGCCGGGCCAATGAAATCCTAAAGGGCTAGCCCTATGAAGGTCTTACAAGACCATTAGTAGGGTCGGCCCATAAGGGCATGGGCCCAGGGCCGGGGGCCATCACTTGGCCTGAGGTGTGTCCCCTCAAGCCCGGCCCAAGCTTGACCCTCTACTATAGAGTCGTGCCTTAGCCGGCCCCAGCCCGTGATGGGCCTGGGGTCAGAAGGGTCGTGCCGGCCCAGCACGGCCCTTTTGACACCTCTAATTGGGTGCTTAGGTGCCACGACAACATTTTCTCTTCTAGGAACTTCAATAAAAATTTTAAATAAATAAAAATAAAAATAAAACTTATAACATGATGTTAAATAGACAAAGCTGCTATTCATTGCCCACCATAGTACAATACCCAGATTAAACTGACAATGTACGACCACCCCATAGTCGTTAAACTGCAATCGCACACGAACATTTGTTTTCGACGAGTTACAAGCACACTTGAAACAGTACTTAATTTCCAATGCACATGAGAATCCCACACACCACACACACACACATTATATATGTGTGTGTGTGTGTGTATAGTAATCCATATACACACATGCACAATACCATATTACCTATCACACTCTCCATCACACAGCAAATCAACACACAAAACATAATATTATAGATATAGAGACAAATATATATATATATATATTAGTCACCCTTGCAGCACTTGTAAGTGATGAACATCTCCATGGGACTCTCGCATTCGGCGCACTTCATGTGCTCCGGCGCTTTCCCAGCCACAATCGGTATGTCAAGTCGGCAGCAATGCGAGGTTTGCTCCATAATCTTGCTATAATAGTCTTTGAAGGCCACTTCGAAGGCCTTATTCTTTTCCACGTTCTCCTTCCACTCGTCGAATTTCTCCAAGACCTTCAGGAACGTCGAACCATCTCCGGCGATCTTCGCGACCGACCCTTTGGTGAGAACGGCCCATCCGTCGTCTCCTTTCTGGTTGGAAAACAGCTTTTGGATCTCTCGAGTGCTGGCGGGATCGGTCTCCTCTTGGTTGAGCTTGAGCATGAACATGCTCTGCAAGCGGCTCCAAAACGTTTTGGCTTCTTCGGGGGTTCCCAAGTCGAGCCATTTGATGGTGATGTTTTTGTTCTTGATGATGGAATCCTGTACAATTTTTTCTAATTTGTTCTTAAACTCTTCGTTCCACTTCTGTAGCTTGGTCTTGCCTCCGTAGAAGAAAATGTAGTTTTCTTCGTCCCCCATCTGTTTAATTAGTTAAGATATAAATATTTATTTATGGAGTTTAGGGTAGTGGAGAGAGCAACAAACGATATCATTTCATTTATGTTACGATGTCATCATTGTTGAGAAACGACATGCCGCGTTGTCAATACAATAAAACTACAATATGTATGTCCTTATTGCTCATATCTCTTGTCCGCTCATGGAACGACATCCATGAAAAGGAAAGTGACATTATGTGTTGTTCACGATAAATAAACAACGATATGCATGTCGTTTCACTACTCAGATTTAAAATAACAATAATGCTAAATTTGGTCTTTCTTTTAATTTGGCGTGGTCTTTATTCATAAAGACGTTGCCTAAACATCCTGATTAATCTACTGAAATGAAGATTTTTATTTTTAACTAGCACATATATATTCATAAGAACTACCATTTACCCACTAAAATATACTTATTGTCATTGCAACAAATTTTGTCCCCAAAAAAATGAAAAACAATCTTATACTTTTTAATGCATGCATGAATGCAACAATATATTTGAAGTTAATAAATTTTTTAACCAGCACATTTTAGCTATAAAACATACTTGAGTTTTTAATCTAAGCAACTTAGGATAAAAACGATGTAAGTATTAACGATCGATGCATAAAAAGCAACAAGACATATAGTGGAGTTATCAAAATAGTGAAAGCAATTAATATTACCAATTGTTTTGCGGCTGGAAATTCATTCATTACAGGATCAATCCAGTTGACCTCACTTGACACTTTCTTTTCATCGTCCCGACGAAAAGGAAAGGCCTTCATTCCCCATGTGCGGATGAGGTGAAAGGCGTTATGGTTTTCGACCTTCCCTTGTGGGTTCATCACAACCACCATTGGCTGGCCTTTGAAGTCCCACTCCTTTTTTATGAACGTGACACCGGCTGTAACCGTATCCAGCTTTATTATGTGATAAGGCATCTTCTTGGAAAGGGTCACGAATGAAGATTTAAGCTCATCAGTCCACTCCTCCACAATTGGGACCCAAACGATCTTGTAGTTCTCATCATTCATCGATATCTTAAGGTCAATGGTTTCTAGGCGCGATATCAACAGTAGAACATGCTTCTTGCTCAGCACATCAATCTCTTGCTGTTAATTTGAATCAAGACGCATCGCCATCACTAAGTTGTATAGATTAATGGGAGTAATTAACAACAATGAAGATTACAATCACCTTTTTTCTTATCAAGCAGTGAGGAAAAGCACTGTAATTAGGATTCTATATTTGAAACGACCGTCTCAAATATGATTATACAAGATGACCGTCTCAAATACAAATGACAATATTACTATTATATTTGCCACTAAAAGGTGTGATAACAGTATATTTGTGGTGATGTTTTATTTTGTACTTCAGTGTGTAATGTTATTTCAAATATATCTACTTTTTATTATGATTATTATAATTTGAAACTTGTAGAGTTTTAATATCAAAATTATTTTAAAAGAGTAATGTTGTAATAATTAAATGAAAAGGTTAATATATCAACCAATAGTAATCATGTGCTAAATTAGTAATTTGCTACGTAGCAATCAAAGTAAAGCATTTGCTAAATTTATTATAGAAAATAACATCACATTAAGGAGTAATTTTTTGCTATAGATTTTGTACAAAGTTGACTTCTTTAAGTAAATATATACTCTGTTTTCCCTTTAGTCTTTTTTCCATTGGGTTTTGGCTAGAGGGTTTTTAACAAGAGATATATATTTGTAGCTTTTCTCCAAAAAATGAGTTTAGGCTCATCTTTTGGAGATAGCTTCCAGCTTTATAGGCTTTTTGTTCTGTTTTTCGTGTATTTAGTATTTTGGCTTTTGGGTTGTTTTATTGAAACATTTACTTTATTCTTTTAATTTTAATAGTATTTAGTGAGAGTTTTGGTATATGACAAAATTGGTTAATCAATGCCAACTTAGTTGAGATGTGCTAATTAACCATTTCTAATATCAGCTTTCGCAGTTTATTAAAAAAAAAAAAAGGAGTAATTTTTCGACTTAAATATTAATATTAACACATTAATATGATATTGCATTAGAGATGTTGTAATAATAAATTTGTTCCGCAATTAGGCTGGCTGGCTAGCTAACTAGGCAGATAGAGTAATAGACCCGTTTGTGGCAAGTAAAATGCCGTGAGAGCAAACCATTATTACCTCGGTAGAACCATGAATTAGAACCTCTGTGGAAAATAGGATCTTTATAACCTCCACGATGTTCGAAGGATCTTTGAGAACACTCATTACCTTCCGATAATCATCCTCCTCTTCTGCAACAATTTGAAAAATGAAATTAAAAAAAGACTTAGTTATTCGAATATTAATTAATAAACACTTTATTTTTTTTCTAACGAAAAAGGGTAAATAAATACGTATTTGGAGCAATACTTTTACATCAACTGACGTGAATGTTTGAAGTAAGACTTTTACATCAACTGACGTGTATGTTTAATTTTAACCATACATACATATTTCCGAGAAGCCAATTTTGTTTATTATATATTGTACTTAAAGACTAAAGTTTGTTTTCATAAGTTGTCCCTTAGGCTTTTGAAATAAAAAAAAAAAATGCTTGAACTTTTCAACAGAACTAAAAACCGACCATTAATTATATATATATATATATATTAGGGCTGTAAGAAATCATCCCGAACCCGACGAACCCGGCCGAGCCGAGCCGACCCTACCCGAAAATTACGGATTTCTAATTTTTTATTTAATTTTCGGTTTGAATTATACCTAACCCGCACTGCGCGGGTAGGGGCGCGGGGTGGGGTTACATGAACCCGAGGTAACCCTACCCGGCCGAACATGTTCAAAGTAGGTAAAATAATGTTCAACACTTCAAATTCTTACTTTCATAAGTTTATGAACTTTATGCTTTTAAACTGTTAACTTATTTATGTTTTGGATTCACAATTTGTGTAAAAAATGCTTGTATGCCATAGTTGTTGAATTAGGACATTCTTGATTTATATTGGAAGTGTTTGATTTCAAAGTGAGTGTTTTAATTGTTCACGTTGCATTTAGACCCCCTATTGAAAGAAAAACATGTTCTGTTTGATAATGATTTCTTATGTAACAAGCACAGATTAATTGACTAAAAAGTGATCATGTGGTCCTTGAGATCACTCTTGCTTTATGCATATTGTGATATGAGTTATTAGTCTTTATATTTTATTATGCCGCAATTTTGTTGTGTAATTATTTACTACAATAGTATTTGCATATATCATTTATTGCTCATTTACTACAATAGTATTTTATCATTTATTTGCATATAAGAGCCTCTTAGATTAAAATTGATGAAGTCATAGATTAAAATTAGTTTTCACCAACCCGAGTAACTGGACCCTACCCGAGGTCACCCGAAAGGTTACGGGTTTGTAGACTTAAGAGAGTGTCGCGGCCCAAAATTTTCTTAACCCGCACTAGTCAGGTAGGCTCAATTTTTCGGCTCAACCCTACCCTACTCGGCCGATTTACACCCCTAATATATATATATATATATATATATATTTTGAAAACATCAAGAATGTCCTTTGTAATCAGTATTTAAGAATTACGTAAGCATTTACTATTTGAAAAACTAACAATAACAGATTTTGAAAATAAATTTTGATACTTATTATTGACCAGTCAAATCGTTGTTTCTTTTTACGTTGTTGCAAAACTTGAGTATTTTTTTTATTTCGAAATTACTCATAGTATTATAATTATTTTTTATCTGACCACAGTACTTATTATTTCTCACATATTGTACAGTCTTTTTTGTTTTTTGTTTTTTTTTTGAGAGAGTAAATATCTATTTTTATTAAATGGTCATGTCTATATATGCGAGTTGTGAGTACTAGAAAAATAAAAAGAAAAATAGAAAAGGAAGCGAACCTTTTTTCAACCTGTAAGCTTTCAGCTGTTCCTTTAATTTAGTGTCGATGTCTCTAAGCTTATTAGTATAAGCTGAAACATCAAATGCCTTGTCCCTGAAATGGAAGAGACAACGTATACATAAAGTGCTATTATATTTTTTTATAAGCGACAAAATTGACTAAGGAAGAAGGAAAAAGTTCTTAGAGACCTAAATCATAAAAGCGAAACTAAAATTGTACCGACAGAGCTACGATTGTATATGATATTGTTCCTTTTATAGATTTCAATAGAAAATTTGAAGTGAAATTTGAATTTTTGTGAGAGAAATTACTGTAGTAAAAAAGTTGAATTACATGTAATTCAAACAAAGATGTCAAATAATAAATAAATAACTTACTCATCAGAAGCAAGTATAGTGACCTTGGTCGCACAAGTTACAACAGTCATGACAATCCAATATGCAACCACAGTTTTTGACACAACTGGTTTCCCTTTTGGATCATAAGCAGAAAGCTTCTCCCACTCAAACATTGTTTCCATCACTTGCAGTAATAGTTTAATCAGAACGTTAAGATCGACGATTGCGCGCCGGCGTTTCTGCAGCTCCGAGTGCTTGGTAAGCACCCTTTTTAGGGTTCCCAATGATTTGGCAAGTTGTTGATCGACAGATTTGTGAAGCATGGCGATGAGAAAGAAATCTGCGAATTCCATTGCAAATGCAGCCAGTGTCAACACTGCCTTTGCCGACCAAGGATAGTTTGACAGCTTTACAAGGATTGACAACGTTGTTTTGTCTGTCATTTCCCCTGTGAGAGCCTCTCGGCATGAGAGCTGAAATACAAAATTTCTTAATCGATTAGGCGAATATATATATATATATATATATATATTAAAATTATAAACAATATAATGCAAATAAGAATTATGACTTTTACTGCGTAGTTATAAAAGTACTGGTGATACAAAATATTGTTCTCTAATATGAGACATGCTTGCAAAGTTGCCATCCCCTAAATAAAGGCTCACAGTACTAGGTGATACGAGAATATACAAATAAAGTTTTTTCTTTAAGATATTCCATTTTAGTTCCTGACCTATGTGCAAGTTTCCTTTTGGTGCCTGAGTTTTAAAAACATCTGAAAACAAGTCTACAATTCATGAAAATGTTCCAAATTATCCTTTCATCTGTCGCCCGGACTGTCAAAATTTCCACAGAATGTTTAGTTTACTAGAGTTTTATTTGATAATTTTACATATTAGGACTCGTCTATATATTAAAAAAGAAGTATTTTTTTTTTTCTGTTCTGATTTTAATAGTTGAATAAACAAAAGGATTAATTTAACAAGGCTTAGTAGCTTGGGGTCTATTTCGTTTTGAGACATTTTAAAAGTTACGCACCAAAATGAAATTTGACTACAGTTCGACGAGTAAAAATGGAATAAACACTTTTCCATAACAAAAGAGTACTTGATTATATATATATATATATATATATAGAGAGAGAGAGAGAGAGAGAGAGTTTAATTGACCTCGCAGGCTATCTGCTTAAGCTCGCACAAGGGTACGCTGAAGTCGGGTTTGGGGATCTTCTCCTCTATCATTGCCAACTGTGCTGGGTAATTCTGCAATCAGTGACAACATTTTTAATGCATATGAAGTAAGAACATACGTTTTTTTATAAATATATATATATATATATATTCTGACCACTAAGGCATCGTTCAGTTCGCGGATTCGAGTTTTTAATTTGAATGTTATTTTATGTGAGAGCTTTTCACTGTAGCAGAAAAAATTAAATTTGACTTTTTGTGAGAGTTTTTAACCGTAGCAAAACTGAAATTAAAAAATCAAATTGATGAAATGAACGATGCCTAAATAATTTAAAATAAAAGTAGGTTATATATACCTGCAGTATAACTTCTTCAGCAATTTGAGTTGAATGATTAAGGATGGTTTTAACAATAACGTAAAGAGAATCGACGTCCAACGTCGTCGTCTCGGTGTTAGCATGAGTACAGTCACAAAGCTTCTGCTTGATCGCTTCGTCGCTCATGGAGAAAAGATTCGTCATTGTATTCTGAACTTTTTCTATATTGCCTATCTTTGAGGGTCGTAATATAGAACCTAATGCGTTGGAAGAAAGATTGCTAGTATGGTGCATACCGTTGCAATTTTTCTTGTTCTATTTATAGCCAATCTCATTACTTGAGTTAAAAGCAAAAGTTTCAAACGTTTTTAACGGTGTAAGCTGCAAAGTATTCCTAAATAGTAATTAGTAATTATTGTTATATTCCATATTCTAGAATACTGCTATAGGAGGTCGCTTTTTATTTTTCAAAGAACAGTTTGTTTCCTTGTTTGCCCTTGAGTTTTTCTGCTCTTCTCCTCTCTCAGATACGTGGTTGTCTTTTTTTTTTTCTTTCCTCTGTGATGTTGCATGCGTGCTAGATCCGAGTGCAGAGCCTACTTCACGTGCCAGCCCCCTCTCCCTAACGTGACGCCACGTGTCCAAGCAAATAGAGATATACACGTGTAGTAAATCCTCGATCGTCTAAACATTACCACTTTTCTAGAACGGGGTCTGGTGAAACAAAGTCACGACCTCGTTCACTTCGCTGATTCGAGTTTAGAATTCGAGTTAAAATGTGATTTTATGTGAGAGCTTTTTACTGTAGTAAAAAAGTTAGATGTAATTGTTTGTGACAGCTTTTTGCTATAGAAAAACTCAAATTCTAAACTCGAACCAGCGAAGTGAACGGGGCCGTAATCAAAATCAAGTTAAACTTCTATATTTGTTATTTATAGTCTTATCCTCAATAATTTATATTTTTTTATATGTTCTTTATGTTTCAAATTAAATATTTCTTGCAAAGTATTCTAAATATCATTTTTCAAACATGACCTCTATAAATTTTTTTAATGACCTTATTGAATTAATTATTCTCAAATGTGTTCAAAGTTTTTATTTATTTTATATTTACTTTATTAAATGATATGGGCAATTTAATAAAATTTTGATAATTAAATGGATTATTATTATTTACCATTAGTATTAAACATTTCCTTCAAATTTCATTCAACCAAGTAAGTTGATCTCCTCACAAAATAATGAAACTTCAAACAATTAAAATTAAGTTGAATTAAAGAAAATGAGCATTTAACATAATTTAATAAAAATTATTACGATTAATTAAATGAGACTTTTTCTATTATGAGAATAAATTTGTAATAATTTCTTTTAAACATAGACACAGCAAGCACGTGACTCAGGCTAGTTCTATGCAATGGGGCGTAATTTCCGGCTATAATTAATGCTATTTCTTTGAAAATACGATCTGTTTTATCTTGTTTCGTAGTCCAAAGGGAGGGATGTTTGAGATATGCTAAAGCGGTTTGATGCAAAAGTCAAAAAAAAAATGAATAAATAAATAAATAAAAAGTAATGAAAAATAAATCCAAAATTAAAGATCTATGTGTGTATATATGTATAGAAAACTTAAATTAAAGCGCATAATAAGTTATATATAGTATATATTACATCAAATATTGATAACAAAATTCAATTAATAAACACTACATATAAAGGTGAGTCTCATCTTGTCACGTTACCCTGATATAGTCATAGGACAATCTAATAATGAGGTATTTTCGACCTTTAGCAACAATAGTGTCGTCATCAAATGTGTGTATACTTTTTAGCGACCAATCAGTTGCTAAACTTTTTTTAGGTATACAAAGCTATAATAGTTCAGCCAAAAACGTTTTTAGCTACACCTTGTAATGATATCATCACTAAAGAACCCAACGAAAGATAGTACTCCCAGGAAATTTAGAAAAAAATTAAGAAAACCTTAACTCGGCCTTTTTCTTTTTGGAGCCGAGAAAAATGGGAAGAATCCCCCTTTACATCCTCCATGAAGTTATTGAGTAAAGAGTCCAAATAAAGATAGTGAGAAATTGAGAGGTTGGTCAGATTTAGCTCACTAATTAAGCAAAGAATAAAGAAAAGAAAAAGAAAAAGCTATAAGAAGATCAAGATGATCAAGCCGTACTGTACAATAAGTAACGGATAAGGCTATAAGAAGGACATTCTTTTTTCTTTTTCCTTTTCAGATTTAGCTCACTAAATTTGCAAAGAATAAAGAAAAGAAAAAGAAAAAGCTATAAGAAGATCAAGATGATCAAGCCGTACTGTACAATAGGTAACGGATAAGGCTATAAGAAGGACATTCTTTTTTCTTTTTCCTTTTCAGATTTAGCTCACTAAATTTACAAAGAATAAAGAAAAGAAAAAGAAAAAGCTATAAGAAGATCAAGATGATCAAGCCATACTGTACAATAGGTAACGGATAAGGCTATAAGAAGGACATTCTTTTTTCTTTTTCCTTTTCAGATTTAGCTCACTAAATTTACAAAGAATAAAGAAAAGAAAAAGAAAAAGCTATAAGAAGATCAAGATGATCAAGCCATACTGTACAATAGGTAACGGATAAGGCTATAAGAAGGACATTCTTTTTTCTTTTTCCTTTTCAGATTTAGCTCACTAAATTTACAAAGAATAAAGAAAAGAAAAAGAAAAAGCTATAAGAAGATCAAGATGATCAAGCCATACTGTACAATAGGTAACGGATAAGGCTATAAGAAGGACATTCTTTTTTCTTTTTCCTTTTCAGATTTAGCTCACTAAATTTACAAAGAATAAAGAAAAGAAAAAGAAAAAGCTATAAGAAGATCAAGATGATCAAGCCATACTGTACAATAGGTAACGGATAAGGCTATAAGAAGGACATTCTTTTTTCTTTTTCCTTTTCAGATTTAGCTCACTAAATTTACAAAGAATAAAGAAAAGAAAAAGAAAAAGCTATAAGAAGATCAAGATGATCAAGCCATACTGTACAATAGGTAACGGATAAGGCTATAAGAAGGACATTCTTTTTTCTTTTTCCTTTTCAGATTTAGCTCACTAAATTTACAAAGAATAAAGAAAAGAAAAAGAAAAAGCTATAAGAAGATCAAGATGATCAAGCCATACTGTACAATAGGTAACGGATAAGGCTATAAGAAGGACATTCTTTTTTCTTTTTCCTTTTCAGATTTAGCTCACTAAATTTACAAAGAATAAAGAAAAGAAAAAGAAAAAGCTATAAGAAGATCAAGATGATCAAGCCATACTGTACAATAGGTAACGGATAAGGCTATAAGAAGGACATTCTTTTTTCTTTTTCCTTTTCAGATTTAGCTCACTAAATTTACAAAGAATAAAGAAAAGAAAAAGAAAAAGCTATAAGAAGATCAAGATGATCAAGCCATACTGTACAATAGGTAACGGATAAGGCTATAAGAAGGACATTCTTTTTTCTTTTTCCTTTTCAGATTTAGCTCACTAAATTTACAAAGAATAAAGAAAAGAAAAAGAAAAAGCTATAAGAAGATCAAGATGATCAAGCCATACTGTACAATAGGTAACGGATAAGGCTATAAGAAGGACATTCTTTTTTCTTTTTCCTTTTCAGATTTAGCTCACTAAATTTACAAAGAATAAAGAAAAGAAAAAGAAAAAGCTATAAGAAGATCAAGATGATCAAGCCATACTGTACAATAGGTAACGGATAAGGCTATAAGAAGGACATTCTTTTTTCTTTTTCCTTTTCAGATTTAGCTCACTAAATTTACAAAGAATAAAGAAAAGAAAAAGAAAAAGCTATAAGAAGATCAAGATGATCAAGCCATACTGTACAATAGGTAACGGATAAGGCTATAAGAAGGACATTCTTTTTTCTTTTTCCTTTTCAGATTTAGCTCACTAAATTTACAAAGAATAAAGAAAAGAAAAAGAAAAAGCTATAAGAAGATCAAGATGATCAAGCCATACTGTACAATAGGTAACGGATAAGGCTATAAGAAGGACATTCTTTTTTCTTTTTCCTTTTCAGATTTAGCTCACTAAATTTACAAAGAATAAAGAAAAGAAAAAGAAAAAGCTATAAGAAGATCAAGATGATCAAGCCATACTGTACAATAGGTAACGGATAAGGCTATAAGAAGGACATTCTTTTTTCTTTTTCCTTTTCAGATTTAGCTCACTAAATTTACAAAGAATAAAGAAAAGAAAAAGAAAAAGCTATAAGAAGATCAAGATGATCAAGCCATACTGTACAATAGGTAACGGATAAGGCTATAAGAAGGACATTCTTTTTTCTTTTTCCTTTTCAGATTTAGCTCACTAAATTTACAAAGAATAAAGAAAAGAAAAAGAAAAAGCTATAAGAAGATCAAGATGATCAAGCCATACTGTACAATAGGTAACGGATAAGGCTATAAGAAGGACATTCTTTTTTCTTTTTCCTTTTCAGATTTAGCTCACTAAATTTACAAAGAATAAAGAAAAGAAAAAGAAAAAGCTATAAGAAGATCAAGATGATCAAGCCATACTGTACAATAGGTAACGGATAAGGCTATAAGAAGGACATTCTTTTTTCTTTTTCCTTTTCAGATTTAGCTCACTAAATTTACAAAGAATAAAGAAAAGAAAAAGAAAAAGCTATAAGAAGATCAAGATGATCAAGCCATACTGTACAATAGGTAACGGATAAGGCTATAAGAAGGACATTCTTTTTGGGGGGGATTGGGTTTAAGGGGGTTTAAGTGATAGGGGATGTGATTGGAATTCGTCTTTTCTTTGTTTGTATCACCGAGAGCATTCTTCTTAGATTTTATCTTCAGATAATAGACTCAAGAGGAGCGTGGAAGCCCCACCTTAACTGTGCTTTAATTTCCAAAACTTAAGTTTTTCCATTAATACAAAATTCACCATGAATTATACATTTTATAAAAGTTTACCCCTTAATCTGTAAAACGTAACATTCGTTCTCTCTAAATAATAAAATATTAAAAAAAAACCTTTCGTTAGCTTTTTAACTGAAATTGGCATTTAATTTGCTATTTTGAGGGTATTTTAAAAATTATGTGGTTTAAAATTTAATTTTCATTTAAACTGACTTAAATATTAAAATTTGATAAATTTTGTTATTCTACCAAAAAAGATTCATAAAATTTCCAACTTATATTCAA